TATATATATATTGGGGCAAACGTTAGGCCTACGCTTATGTTGCATGATGAGTACTGACACTTGAGACTGGACGGTATGTATTTGTGAAACGATATCATAGTACGCCATGGACTGTCCACTCTAAATATCATCTTATTGTGCCAGAGGACCAATATCCGGAAAAAATGTATAGGGGGTGTGAAGAATGAAGCGGAAGCACTTGGAAAATCTCACTTTCGCAAAGGGTGATCCTGTCGCTTGATGACTGAGTTTGAATGGTTACTGAACTTTAAGGTATTGAATTTTATTAATGGTTTCCCAAAAACTCACACAGCTTTCTTACTTTTCAGATATCACTACCGCACTACCAAGAGGTAGATTTTCTTGAAAAGGCAGAGAGACGGTACAAAATGTTCCTGCACCTTAAAAAAGTTCAACATCATATTCACCAAGGTGTCACAAGTGTGCCAAACGGGTACAACACCAACTGTAAACCAAAGTCGTTGCACTGTACCTCATCAAATTTTCAAGAGCGAAGTCCCACCCTTCACTATTTGCCTTTTGACATTGAATTGTGCTGGAGAGCGCATATTCTGCACCCAAGGATTTATGCCCGGAACACAAGTTGTCTGATTGGTCAGCTTTTACCACACATGTGTAGCGTCTATCAAAACTGCATGCTGAGTTATCTGGTAGAAAGTCAACATACAGTCACGTCAATTAGTACCGAAAATCCGGACAAACGTATGGTCCCCGGGTTAGAGGAACTGTGGTCTGCGTGGTTCCCCGAAGAGCCATTAGTTCGACCCGGATCAATGGATCGTGGCATGAGTTCTCGAAAACAACTTGCGTGCTTGACAGCATCAGATATCTACAAAATGGCCACGAAATCGGCCCAAGTCACAGTGAGTTTAACTTATCATCAGTGTGTGAAATATATGACCCCCGACGTGTAGACAGTCTAGAAATACATATTCGAAGTACTCTCTTTTAAGCAGTCCAATTTATGTCCTGGCGCAATAATTTTGTTGGGTTCATATCAAGGGTGATAGCAGTGGACTCGTTTTGTCGTCACTAGAAATTATCAACAGCGTGTATACTTGAAATTTAGACCTCCGATGTGCGAGGAGTGCCTGTTACTACTATTCCAAGGTTGAATACCAGACACATCCCTTAGGTATTACGCCTGCTCTTATAAGGATAAAACTTGAGGCCAGCGCTTCCCGCTTTTGATGCAGAGCCTCCGAAAGAAATGAACCTGTACAGGAATTGAATGGTTCATACGAATTCCGTAACCACTAACATTGAATCCGAATGTAGCCAAACTAGGGAATATTGAACTCTGACGAAAGTAATTTGAGGGAGGGCAAAGATAGCTGGATATTCTATAGTTTGAGTCTTGGGATAAGTTATCTATGCGTGGGTATTAAACCCGGCTAAACTGGTTCTGTTTACTGAACTAACAAATTACATAAGTTTACTACTGATAGTAATAGAAAAATCTTGTCTATAAGATTGATCAAAAAGATAAGTAGTCTTGACTATCGACGACATGAAATCAAAAAAGGCTGAAAAGAATCTGCGCCAACTACTTGCAGTTTTATCTCATCATTTGGTAATTATATGACGGAAAAGGTCGTAGTGATTGGTGGGGGCTAGGAGATGGGGATGTTCCACGTCAGTTATATCAGTCAGGATTTCAACAACTAACAGAGAGTAGAAAATTTTCACGCAGAAGATGGATTATTTTTACGTGGAGTGCGTACGTCTTTAATTTGACGGTTTCATAAGGAGCGCTGTCTTGAATAACTCTTCTTTGACTAAGTTCATACCTCTTTTGGGCTGCCCGGGTAGAATTAGGCTTTGCGTCTCGAAAAAAAGGTGACGTGGTAATCACGAACATCCAAGATTTCAATCACTTCAAATGCGGTTGTGACTTAGGGAAAATAAAAGAAACACTCTGGGATATTGAACCTTTCAAATATCAACTGCCATTTCGGGACTTTCATGTTCACAATGTCAAAGCTAACAAAATGAAGCTACCAAGAGGAATCCCATTCGCACATCGATTTGGGCTTTACAGGAGATTCAACTGAATTCAGCTGGATCTCTCGTTTATGATGAGTTCAAGTGGAACATAAATTTGACGGAAACCCGGGGATTGCGCCTATCTGATGTGCCCTAAGAAGGGCGAAACCGGCGTTGGCCTGGTGAAGAGTTTTCAGGAAGTAGTGCGATGTGTAGACAAAAAGGAAGCTGAGTGAAAAAAATTCATCATCCGGTCATCACTCAGGTCAGCCGGGTTTTTATACTGAGCTCAGGTAGATATGGTAACGGTGGTGAAGATGTCGTCCGATTCAAGCGAAGTTAAACGATAGCAAAACTGTGTACTTTGTTTGAAAATAAAACGGTGTTGCGTTCTCTGAAAGTCATGTCTGCTCTCGCCCCTGTGGTGGAGGTTAAATGATATGACTCTATGGTCTCTTATTCATTCCACCAATCAGTCTATTATCTTGAAAGCAAACAAGGAAAGCTGAAAATTGACAAGCCGATTTACATGCTGTGTTGAATGGAAACTGACTAAAAAAATGCACAGTTTATCTTCCTTTAGAATGGGGTTCATACGGAATATTCGTACAAGAAGACATCCATCTTCTCTGAAGCTTGAGGTTTAGAGGTCGCTTATCGTAATTTACTGATAATCTGACAAGACTATAATGGCCATCCACTAGATCTCATTGAGTATTCGTTATCTGGCCCTCCATTGATATTATTTATGGCTAGCTCGGTTCCCTAAATAGGGCAATTTTTATCCTGAACATCCTAGACTAGTGTCAGGGTCGGTTCCAAATTTGCATTGACATGCGTTCATCAAATGTCACGGAACAAGCATTAAAAAGTCCATTTTGATCCCCACAGAGTGCCCGAGTGTAGACTAAACAAGATTAAGCTTCCGTGTAGTTGGTTCTGTGTGTACTTTGACAGATGTTTGTCTCTCCCTCCGCGTTTATACCTTTTTTTCTGTTCCCTGTATTAAGCATGTGGCATCGAGTTATCTTTCGTTACTGTGTGATCAATTTCCTGTCAGACGTTTTGTTCTACTGGATCAAAATCATGTTGCTTATATACCACCGGATGTATAGAATCAGTCTGTGACGCAAACATGTAGAAAAACTTTTGAAATTTGGCCAATAACTTTACAGATTATGATTTATTATTAGAGAATATCTACTTGCATGCTTGAGTGAGGAACTAAAGGTTGGATTTAGCCGACTGATTGTAATCAGTTACGCTGCGAATTACTACCATTAGTCACCCGAGACAACGCACTTAAATGTGTGAACATTCATAGTGTGACTTGGTTTAACTAGTTGACAAAATCAAGGGTGTCGAGCCGTCCATGCAAAAGGAGAGTACCGGGTCTGAATTCCCTCAGATGCCCAATCAGTCAGCCTCCATAAAAATATCAGTCTGCTTCTGGTGTTCTCCCATGGCTTTGCTTAGTATCCCTATTATCAATATATGTGTGTTTAGAGACCTTGACACAGATCCAACTTTTGTGTTCTGTTTTTCAGATCAATCAGGTCACTGCGCAGCTGAACCCCGGTTTAGAAAAGTTCAGTATACGGATCCAACATTCAGGTCAACGATTTGGCGAGCCTGATACCAGTGCTTCCGGAATGTTTGGAGCGGAGCATTGTGTAGCGCGGTTAAACTCACCTGGAAGAGTTTGGTCAGCGACCGGTCCCCGAAAACCCATAGCCAGACTGTCCATGACCTCCGGAGTACACGATGAGTTGACAATTGAACTAATAGATAAACGCGGCTGGCTATGTCCAAACAATTCTTTGCTCAGTAGGGCCAAACTATCCTTCACAACTTTGCTTGAACGCTTTCCTGGAACAGAACCACTGGATATAGAGTTCGGAGAAGAATTGAATTTAGTGAGTGCCTTTGACTTTCCTGCAAGTTTTTATAGAAGACACAGATCCAACTTTTGTGTTCTGTTTTTCAGATCAATCAGGTCACTGCGCAGCTGAACCCCGGTTTAGAAAAGTTCAGTATACGGATCCAACATTCAGGTCAACGATTTGGCGAGCCTGATACCAGTGCTTCCGGAATGTTTGGAGCGGAGCATTGTGTAGCGCGGTTAAACTCACCTGGAAGAGTTTGGTCAGCGACCGGTCCCCGAAAACCCATAGCCAGACTGTCCATGACCTCCGGAGTACACGATGAGTTGACAATTGAACTAATAGATAAACGCGGCTGGCTATGTCCAAACAATTCTTTGCTCAGTAGGGCCAAACTATCCTTCACAACTTTGCTTGAACGCTTTCCTGGAACAGAACCACTGGATATAGAGTTCGGAGAAGAATTGAATTTAGTGAGTGCCTTTGACTTTCCTGCAAGACCCTATAGAACACTGGTCAGTATCCAGCTAAAATAGACTTTCCTAACCGCGGTTTCACGTCCTCATTCCAAGGCTAGCTCAGACTAGCATTTCAGAGTTTTGTAGCCATTTATTTACAGGACTGAAGGCTAACATGTCAGATGTGGATAAAGCTGGTAACAGACGATCGGACTTCATATCCACCACATATAGTGATATTCACATGTGAATGAGGTCCCTGTAGTCTGATCCTTACGGCTCCAATTCCCAAGCACAGTTTGTCACGATAAGTTTTATTGCATTTATTCAGCATCTGAATCTTTGTACAACAGATGATAATCGATAGAGTGTTAGGGAACCACGACCGGTCACGAATGGTTTTCATAAATGAGGGGTGATCAGATTGAGTGAACTGACAGGCCGAGTGCGCCGGGACATTCATGTGTACATGTGTCGTGCTGCCGTACCGTGTGAGTGAAGTCGTGTATGCCTGTGTAATGAACAATAAAACATTGTACAATATACGGACACAGAGTTATAGCACAAATGCAAACTAGTGAAAAGGCTTCCAATGGTGATCGAACATGTGCGTAATAGTGATAACCCACGAGCCCATTCATCTAACCATTTGAATTCAGAATATCAGGTAGCACATTGGGTTCACTTGCCCATATTTCTCCCTCAAAAACCAAAGTTTTGGGCATACAGTAGAGCTAAATTCGCCACTCCAATGGTTACTGAATAAAACTAACATTATTTAGGCACTCAATTCTACTGGCAAGGTAAAATACCCCATAGGCTGTCTGATGCTAGTAAGTACTTAAACGTCATAGATATTGGCAGCATTTGTTAGTCCCTTGTTCTGTACTGATTAGGGTACAAAGAGACTGGCTTAATTACGGCAGGTTCGACAGGAGTGTTTTGGCGTACATAATGCGACTATGTACAAAGGTAAAATTTGTGGCAGCATAACGTGTTCTCCATGCAGGCTTGCAGAAAACGGATCCGTCGGGCACAATAGGCTTTGACGTAGTTTCTGGCATGTTTGCGGAAACCAGTACGGTTCTTAAATGGAAAGTGTTCCAAACGTCACTGCTGCGAGAATCACGGCGAGCAAAAGCAGAAAGCCTACCTCAGTCAAGTTGTGGTGCCTTCAATGTTGGTTAAAGCTTCACGATACAGAGAACAAATAAGCTTGTTTGCATTTCCTCTACTGTTTTTGTGAGGAAGTAGAATAACTGGACACAATTGGACCTCTCTACAAGCATAAGTAGTGTACGTTCATTGTAAAGCCCACAAAATATTGTCAGAAAAATATGGAGTGGTTATTGACTTTCCAACTAGTCCACCGTTGGGCAACACTTTTATGGGCACGCTCGAAAGAAAGCGGCTGAACAGTGTAATCAGACACTCGCCCGATGGATACAAAACTTGGGAGATTTCAGAAGCTTAAAAAGTTCTGAAAAGCGAAGAAAAGTGCTAACTTTCACACACGTTGATTGTTAATTTTCTTTGGGTTATATTTCAATCACACACTGGCGTAATAAACACGGAGTTGGGATTTTCAATGCCTTTACAGACCGAGATTTACCGTGCATTTCATATCGGTGACATTGGACACAACTGAATTTTTAGCGTCCAGACACGGTGTGCGGCAATTTACCCCCGGATTAGTTTGAGACTATGTGCTTGTAGTGAACTGAAATTTGGAATTTTCTGGATTAATTTAAAATCCAAATATGATCTAGGTTTAGGCCGGAAGAGCCCCATTTTTAACGCCTCGAAAAAAATCACGTGATTTCGAGGTGCTTCTCAAGTCAGGGTGGGATTGCGTATGCGACTACTGGCATGACAGTTCTTCATAACCAAATAGTTTCACAAAATTTGGAAACTGCAAATAATACATTTTTCTGTTTCCAACATTTTATAAATAGGCGTGTGCCACAGCTAAGTATGTTTTCTCGTTCAATTGAAAGTGCCGTTGTTCCAATTTTTAGCCAAGACAAAGGGTAACTGGCAGAACAACGAGAATTTTTTATGCCTCATAAAGCAGAGGTTTTTTCAATGTGCATGTGGGAAACAGTTTTTTGTGAAATCAGATGTATTAGAAAACACACAGATATCGTCAATGGAGCTTAAGATATAATGTTCCTTTCGAAGGTCTTTTCTGAAGCCGGCCACTTTGCCAAGCTCCAAACAGTCAGGTATAGGCATTTTGTAAATATATGGCTAAACAATACTTGCATGTGGCGGTTGGTTTTGCCCATTTGGGTTATCTTTACCGGAAATGACAAATTCTCGAGCGCGTTCTGCTCAGAATGTGAACCTGAATTGTATTTTTCAATGTCAAGAGTCGGCGACAGAGAGAGAGATCTCACCACGATGGCTTGCGAAGCCATATTCTGCTGACCATATTTTGCGTACTGTCCTTTCGTAGAATGAGAGAACCAGACGCACTGAGACAAGACCTAAATCAAGCACTCCGCTACTAACGGGCGATTGCAAGCATCTTCACCCAGCCTTCTGTAGACAGTAATTTCTGAAAACCATAACCTTTAAACCTCACCGATGCGATAGGTTCAACTTTTGTACCTGCATATCCGAAGGTCACGTGTCGTAGTGCTGTACACACTATTCGCCAGAAAGTGTCAGTTTTCCCGTCGCAGCTGATATTCCAGGCATGCAAACACCGCTGTTATTTTCAAACTGCATTGTGGAATTGTGTATCTCGTGCTCCCTCCAGAGAATGTGTGACTTATAACTAAACAGGCTAGATGGCTTTTCTGCACCCAAACTGACGGGGGACGAACTCCTGGCAAGCAGAGAATGGGATCTTTCAGTTGTTGGAACAGAACCCAAGCCATACCGTGTTACATCGATAATCGGTCATTTTAAAATGGCAATATCTTGCTGTTGGCAGCCAACGCAATACTAGCTGAAAGCTCTAAACCTCTAAGCTTGCTAGAGTGGTTATTAGGTTTTCCTCCCATGCATTTTGGAGTACGTTATCGAGCATGAAAGTGAACCCTAAAGATGACATATAGAAATCTGTTAACACAAGACGAAAGATAGCTGTATGGTTTATTTTTCTCTGAAGATTGGTAGCATGGAGTTCAAATTATTCAAACGTATTTCCCAGTACTTTTCCATCCAGCGAGCCTTACAAGAGAACTTACTTTCAGAAGAACAGGATACCATCAAGAGTTACAAGAATACTATAAATGAGAGAGCACGACATTTGTAGCTTTATCCTGTCATTTGACGTAGGGAAGTTGGATCTAAAAAACGTTGGGTGAACGTCAAAATCAGTTTGTTTTCCAGTTGCCAGATCTTCACGCCTAACAAATAATCTGCTTGCATAACTAAATCCTCTCCATCCTTGAAGCGGATTGTGGCTGAATTATCAAGACTTTTTTTAATTATCTCTTCTGGATAATTGGTTGTTGGAAATTTTGTATTGGGCAAGTGGTTAATCACACCTTGACTGTGTTACATAGCGCAACTTAATTAACCCCTAAATCACTGGCTAGTACCAGTGGGACGAATAAGGTGAGAAAGAATACTCAAGTTATTGGAGGTTGTTGATAATGAAAATCCCGGAACACAATCTGGACGCCAGGCTTAGGAATCCCGACTGTACGTATTTCTCGCTTCAAGGAGTGGTCTGATCTCGTTTGTTGTTTATCAGGTGGCGTTTGACGGCGTGGGGCTAAGAAGTGAGGGCACCAACAGAATTCTCCTGACGGCGATTCCTAAGAGTTAAGCAACGCTACCTTTTGTTCAGCAACTATGGAGTGGGGGTCAGCTTTGGTTTCAGCGTATTCTAATAACAGAGTACAAGAGTGGCCCCCAGTAACATGCTTAGTTTTATCAACGGATGCTAATGGAACACCGAAACGCAGTGACGAATTTGCACAGCGCATGCGGCTCTGTACGTAAAGTGTTCTCCGACACCACTTCTCCATCTTCGGCTGCGATATAGCTTCAAATCTTTGTCACAAGAGTAATCGACAGACAGCTAGTTACAAGAATGCCAAAAAGTTTGAACTTATAAAAGAGAAACAACTAGAATATCCCTACATAAAGTTGCCCTGTTTGTCGTTAAAGTTTCGGTTCCGGTAATCAAATCCTCAGGACGAATATCCTTGACCCACATTGACCTTATCTACGGAGGATTTTGCAGAATATGGGGAACTCACTTGTGATCACACCTGGGCTAGAGTCTGGCGCCAGCGGGTAATTCAAGGTGGATTTGTGTCGTCAGAAATCCAGCGTGAGAAACTTTATTACTCAATGCTCCGTGACATCTGATTTGCAGGGTGGCGAGCCTGTTGTTCCTCCTGCGCAGCATATTTAATGGGTCTCCACATGCAAACAGGTGGTGATAAAAACCGAGATCTCTGTTTCATGTTTTTCTCAGGCAGCAGCTGAAATTACAGAGTCAGTTTAAAGGCAGATCGTTAGGCAGTGCTCTGGTGGGTGCCAACTTCGAATAGATTAAGCAAGAAGGTAGGGGAAGAGAGAAGATAGAAACAGAGTCAGTCATATCCCTTGAAGACGCTATATCGAAAAACACTCCATGTCATTCGTTCAGAAAACTGCTTTTTGCAATGCAACAAGGTAGGTGCAACTTCGCCAGGAAGTACTTATAACAAGCTTGCCTGTCTAATTTTAGTCAGTGAGATTACAAGTGCAAGAACGTTCCGCGATTTTTCGAGCACCTTTTCGCCAATGCGGGTGAAATTAAGACTATGATACAGCAAACTTCCCTCTCACGCCCAATTATGCAAACATTTTCGGTCGTTGCATTTTGCTGTTTGACGCCACAATCTGCCTCAAGATTTGTATACAATATCGCTATCGATTCAGCACGCAGTCATCCTATGGCCAAGCTGGAAAAAACAGCGATTTGGCTAAGATTAAACGTGGTCCGTCTGAAGGGAAAACATACTTTGCTTGGAGCTTTACTGGATTTTTAATCGTCGTGGTAACTT